GGAGGGCGACTGCCTCCAACTGCCCAGTAGCGTCCTTCACGAGCCTCCTCCACTGAGGCCGATCTTGACACCGCTGGTACCAGTCATCGGCAAGTCCACTCAGCTCCACGTCCTCCTGTACCACATCACTCCATCTCTTCTCCAGCCCGTGCCGCGCCCGTCTAGCCCCCTCGATCCGGCCGAACAAAAGCTGTTTAGGCATGCGGTGGCTGGGCATGCGGGCTACATGACCCAGCCAACGCAGCCTTGCCTGCCGGAGGAGCTCACTGATGGGACTTTGCCCAGATCTTTCAAGGATTTGTGAGCTCCTCACACAATCCAGCCTGGTTAAACCCAGGATGGATCGTAGGCAGGCCAGCCTAAATGTTTCCAACCGGCGAAGATGCTCCACCAGGGGGGTCCACGTCTCGCAAGCGTAGAGAAGGGAGGGAATGACCGTGGCCGAGAAGACCTGAAGCTTCGTGCGGAGCGACAGACCAGGTAGCTTCCACACAGCGTTACGCAACCGATGAAAAGATATTGCCGCTCGACTGATTCGGAGTGAGACCTCTGCTGATAGACTGGAGCCGGTCATAAGCACACTGCCCAGGTATGGGAAACTCTCCACTCTCTCCACAACTGCCCCATCACCAATTGGGAGTTGTGGGGGTGGAGTGTCCGATGGTACAAAATACCCAGGCAGGTGCTTGGTTTTGGTGGGGCTGATGGTAAGGCCCCACCTCTTAGTGGCACGCTCCAGTCTCAGCAGCAGCGCCTCCAACTCCTCTTCTGAATGAGCAGCTATTACCAAATCATCGGCATACATAACGTGGTTGACCAATAGGGAGCCATCCCTTGATCGCACCCGGGCGTCGATCAGCCTCCCATTATATCTGTACCAAATGGAAATTCCCCCGGTACAGCTATTGAAGGCTTCACGAACTACGCGGTCAAAATAGATGTTAAATAATGTGGGAGCCAGAGGACATCCCTGTCGCACCCCAAGGTGTACAGGGAAAGGCTCCGACTCCCGGCCACGTAGTTTTACCCGGGCCCGCTCACCATCATGAAGGTCCTTAATGATCGTGAGCAGAGGGTCAGGGACTCCGAAAGCACGAAGAACAACCCAGAGCCCAGTCCTACTGATGGTATCATAGGCCTTGACCAGGTCAATAAAGCAGAGATGTAGGTCTTTTTGGAATTCCCTACACCTCTGCTGTAGCAGACGGACAGAAAATATGGCATCTGTGCAGGACCGCCCTTTCCTGAAACCGCATTGGGGCTCCGCAAGCCCCTCCTCAGCGTGCCTAGCAAGGCGATGTTGAATAATCCTTGCCAGGACCTTACCCGGCACACTGAGGAGTGAGATGCCCCTGTACACACACTTACACACACACACTTACACACACACACTTACACACACACACTTACACACACACACTTACACACACACTTACTTACACACACTCACACACACTTACACACACCTACACACTTACACACACTTACACACACACACTTACACACACTTACACACACTTACACACACACTTACACACACACACTTACACACACACACACTTACACACACACACTTACACACACTTACACACACACACCTACACACTTACACACACACACTTACACACACTTACACACACTTACACACACTTACACACACACACTTACACACACTTACTTACACACTTACACACACTTACACACACCTACACACTTACACACACACACTTACACACACTTACACACACTTACACACACACACTTACACACACTTACACACACACACTTACACACACACACTTACACACACTTACTTACACACTTACACACACTTACACACACCTACACACTTACACACACACACTTACACACACTTACACACACTTACACACACACTTACACACACACACTTACACACACTTACACACACACTTACACACACACACTTACACACACACACTTACACACTTACACACACACACTTACACACACACACTTACACACACTTACACACACACACTTACTTACACACACTCACACACACTTACACACACCTACACACTTACACACACACACTTACACACACTTACACACACTTAGACACACTTACACACACACACTTACACACACTTACACACACACACTTACACACTTACACACACTTACACACACTTACACACACACTCTTATACACACTTACACACACTTACACACACTTACACACACTTACACACACTTACACACACACACTTACACACTTACACACACTTACACACACTTACACACACTTACACACACTTAAACACACACACACACTTACACACACTTGCACACTTACACACACTTACACACACTTACATTCTTACACACTTACACATTCTTTGGTTCTTTCGGTAAAGTCACATAGCTATAAAAAGTTTATGAATTTCTGCAGTCACCAAAGTTTTATGTAAAAATTTACACGAAAAAAAGACAAAGATCCCCCGTATAGCCTTAACAGACTGTAGGGGCAGGTGCTGTTAGCGAGTAGCACCTATGAAGGACGGAACGGGGTGGGTGGCCAGCACCACGCCCGACCGCCTTTGTCTCCCCAGTGGCGATGTTTACACACCGCACCAGGTACTCATTTGAGGCTGAGTCGACCTAGGGGAGTGAGTGTCACTGTGGGTGGGTGTCACTGTGAGTGTCACTGTGGGTGAGTGTCACTGTGTCACTGTGGGTGGGTGTCACTGTGTCACTGTGGGTGAGTGTCACTGTGTCACTGTGGGTGGGTGTCACTGTGTCACTGTGGGTGAGTGTCACTGTGTCACTGTGGGTGAGTGTCACTGTGTCACTGTGGGTGAGTGTCACTGTGTCACTGTGGGTGGGTGTCACTGTGTCACTGTGGGTGGTGTCACTGTGTCACTGTGGGTGAGTGTCACTGTGTCACTGTGGGTGAGTGTCACTGGTGTCACTGTGGGTGAGTGTCACTGTGTCACTGTGGGTGGTGTCACTGTGTCACTGTGGGTGGGTGTCACTGTGTCACTGTGGGTGAGTGTCACTGTGTCACTGTGGGTGGGTGTCACTGTGTCACTGTGGGTGAGTGTCACTGTGTCACTGTGGGTGAGTGTCACTGTGTCACTGTGGGTGAGTGTCACTGTGTCACTGTGGGTGGGTGTCACTGTGTCACTGTGGGTGGGTGTCACTGTGTCACTGTGGGTGAGTGTCACTGTGTCACTGTGGGTGAGTGTCACTGTGTCACTGTGGGTGAGTGTCACTGTGTCACTGTGGGTGGGTGTCACTGTGTCACTGTGGGTGGTGTCACTGTGTCACTGTGGGTGAGTGTCACTGTGTCACTGTGGGTGAGTGTCACTGTGTCACTGTGGGTGAGTGTCACTGTGTCACTGTGGGTGAGTGTCACTGTGTCACTGTGGGTGAGTGTCACTGTGTCACTGTGGGTGGGTGTCACTGTGTCACTGTGGGTGGGTGTCACTGTGTCACTGTGGGTGAGTGTCACTGTGTCACTGTGGGTGGGTGTCACTGTGTCACTGTGGGTGAGTGTCACTGTGTCACTGTGGGTGAGTGTCACTGTGTCACTGTGGGTGAGTGTCACTGTGTCACTGTGGGTGGGTGTCACTGTGTCACTGTGGGTGGGTGTCACTGTGTCACTGTGGGTGAGTGTCACTGTGTCACTGTGGGTGAGTGTCACTGTGTCACTGTGGGTGGGTGTCACTGTGTCACTGTGGGTGGGTGTCACTGTGTCACTGTGGGTGAGTGTCACTGTGTCACTGTGGGTGAGTGTCACTGTGTCACTGTGGGTGAGTGTCACTGTGTCACTGTGGGTGGGTGTCACTGTGTCACTGTGGGTGGGTGTCACTGTGTCACTGTGGGTGAGTGTCACTGTGTCACTGTGGGTGAGTGTCACTGTGTCACTGTGGGTGGGTGTCACTGTGTCACTGTGGGTGGGTGTCACTGTGTCACTGTGGGTGAGTGTCACTGTGTCACTGTGGGTGAGTGTCACTGTGTCACTGTGGGTGGGTGTCACTGTGTCACTGTGGGTGGGTGTCACTGTGTCACTGTGGGTGAGTGTCACTGTGTCACTGTGGGTGAGTGTCACTGTGTCACTGTGGGTGGGTGTCACTGTGTCACTGTGGGTGGGTGTCACTGTGTCACTGTGGGTGAGTGTCACTGTCACTGTGGGTGAGTGTCACTGTGTCACTGTGGGTGAGTGTCACTGTGTCACTGTGGGTGGGTGTCACTGTGTCACTGTGGGTGGGTGTCACTCTGTCACTGTGGGTGAGTGTCACTGTGTCACTGTGGGTGAGTGTCACTGTGTCACTGTGGGTGGGTGTCACTGTGTCACTGTGGGTGGGTGTCACTGTGTCACTGTGGGTGAGTGTCACTGTGTCACTGTGGGTGAGTGTCACTGTGTCACTGTGGGTGAGTGTCACTGTGTCACTGTGGGTGGGTGTCACTGTGTCACTGTGGGTGAGTGTCACTGTGTCACTGTGGGTGAATGTCACTGTGTCACTGTGGGTGGGTGTCACTGTGTCACTGTGGGTGGGTGTCACTGTGTCACTGTGGGTGAGTGTCACTGTGTCACTGTGGGTGAGTGTCACTGTGTCACTGTGGGTGGGTGTCACTGTGTCACTGTGGGTGGGTGTCACTGTGTCACTGTGGGTGGGTGTCACTGTGTCACTGTGGGTGAGTGTCACTGTGTCACTGTGGGTGAGTGTCACTGTGTCACTGTGGGTGGGTGTCACTGTGTCACTGTGGGTGAGTGTCACTGTCACTGTGGGTGAGTGTCACTGTGTCACTGGGTGAGTGTCACTGTGTCACTGTGGGTGGGTGTCACTGTGTCACTGTGGGTGGGTGTCACTGTGTCACTGTGGGTGGGTGTCACTGTGTCACTGTGGGTGGGTGTCACTGTGTCACTGTGGGTGGGTGTCACTGTGTCACTGTGGGTGGGTGTCACTGTGTCACTGTGGGTGGGTGTCACTGTGTCACGTGGTTGCCCACAGCTCCGTCTCTGGCAGCAGTAAGAGGATGAAGACACAGAACACGGTGAGTCTGCAGCGTGCACACAGCTGTGTGTGTCACCCTGTGTGTGTCACCCTGTGTGTGTGTGTGAGTGTGTCACCCTGTGTGTGTGTGTGACTGTGTGTGTCTGTGTCTGTCTGTGTGTGTGTGTGACTGTGTGTGTGTGACTGTGTGTGTCTGTGTCTGTCTGTGTGTGTGTGTGTGACTGTGTGTGTGTGTGACTGTGTGTGTGTGTGACTGTGTGTGTGTGAGCCTGCAGCGTGCACACAGCTGTGTGTGTGTGTGACTGTGTGTGTGTGTGACTGTGTGTGTGTGACCCTGTGTGTGTGTGTGTCACCCTGCAGCGTGCACACAGGTGCCACCCTGTGTGTGTGTGACTGTGTGTGTCTGTGTCTGTCTGTGTGTGTGTGACCCTGTGTGTGTGTGACTGTGTGTGTGTGAGCCTGCAGCGTGCACACAGGTGTGTGTGTGTGTGAGCCTGCGTGTGTGACCCTGTGTGTGTGTGTGAGCCTGTGTGTGTGTGTGAGCCTGCAGCGTGCACACAGGTGTCACCCTGTGTGTGTGTGTGTGAGCCTGTGTGTGTGTGACTGTGTGTGTGTGTGACTGTGTGTGTGTGAGCCTGTGTGTGTGTGACTGTGTGTGTGTGACTGTGGGTGTGTGGGTGTCTGTGTGTGTGTGACCCTGCGTGTGTGACCCTGCGTGTGTGTGACTGTGGGTGTGGGTGTCTGTGTGTGTGTGAGCCTGTGTGTGTGTGACTGTGTGTGTGTGACTGTGGGTGTGTGGGTGTCTGTGTGTGTGTGACCCTGCGTGTGTGACCCTGCGTGTGTGTGACTGTGGGTGTGGGTGTCTGTGTGGGTGGGTGTCTGTGTGTGTGAGCCTGTGTGTGTGTGACTGTGTGTGTGGGACTGTGTGGGTGTGTGTGGGTTGGTGTCTGTGTGTGACTGTGCGGGTGTGTATGACCCTGCGTGTGTGAGCCTGTGTGTGTGTGTGACTGTGTGTGTGTGACTGTGTGGGTGTGTGTGGGTGGGTGTCTGTGTGTGTGTGACTGTGTGGGTGTGTGTGGGTGTCTGTGTGTGACTGTGTGGGTGTGTGTGGGTGTGTGTGGGTGGGTGTGTGTGTGTGGGTGTGTGTGTGTGTGTGTGACCCTGTGTGTGTGAGCCTGTGTGTGTGTGACTGTGTGTGTGTCTGTGTGGGTGGGTGTCTGTGTGTGTGTGACCCTGCGTGTGTGAGCCTGTGTGTGTGTGACTGTGTGTGTGTGGGTGTCTGTGTGGGTGGGTGTCTGTGTGTGTGTGACCCTGTGTGTGTGTGACTGTGTGGGTGTGGGTGTGTGTGTGTGACTGTGCGGGTGTGTGTGACCCTGTGTGTGTGAGCCTGTGTGTGTGTGACTGTGGGTGTGTGGGTGTCTGTGTGGGTGTGACTGTGCGGGTGTGTGTGTGACCCTGCGTGTGTGAGCCTGTGTGTGTGTGACTGTGTGTGTGTGGGTGTCTGTGTGGGTGTGACTGTGTGTGTGGCCTGGCACAAGCATCGTGGTGACGTCACCGCCACCTAGTGGCGAATGGCGGTTGTTGTTGTGTGTGTGACCCTGCGTGTGTGAGCCTGTGTGTGTGTGACTGTGTGTGTGTGACTGTGGGTTTGGGTGTCTGTGTGGGTGGGTGTCTGTGTGTGTGTGACTGTGTGGGTGTGTGTGTGCGGGTGTGTGTGACCCTGCGTGTGTGAGCCTGTGTGTGTGACTGTGTGGGTGTGTGTGGGTGACTGTGGGTGTTGGTGTCTGTGTGGGTGTGACCCTGCGTGTGTGAGCCTGTGTGCGTGTGACTGTGTGAGTGTCTGTGTGGGTGTGTGTGTGTGACTGTGCGGGTGTTGGAAACATTTAGGCTGGCCTGCCTACGATCCATCCTGGGTTTAACCAGGCTGGATTGTGTGAGGAGCTCACAAGTCCTTGAAAGATCTGGGCAAAGTCCCATCGGTGAGCTCCTCCGGCAGGCAAGGCTGCGTTGGCTGGGTCATGTAGCCCGCATGCCCAGCCACCGCATGCCTAAACAGCTTTTGTTCGGCCGGATCGAGGGGGCTAAAGGGGCGCGGCACGGGCTAGAGAAGAGATGGAGTGATGTGGTACAGGAGGACGTGGAGCTGAGTGGACTTGCCGATGACTGGTACCAGCGGTGTCAAGATCGGCCTCAGTGGAGGAGGCTCGTGAAGGACGCTACTGGGCAGTTGGAGGCAGTCGCCCTCCAACAACAACGGAGGGCGGAGGAGCGACGCTCACAACAACGAGCGGAGCGCCGGGTGGCTAAAGCACAGCAAGTTGGTACAGTAGGGGGCACAGATGGTGCATCAGCCAGTCATCTCGGTCATCTCGGTCAGTCGACCCGTGGCACCTGCTGGGTCTGCCCCGTGACCTCCTGCCAGCGGGCGTTCGACACTTCACGTGGCAGCCTCAAGGTGCACATAGCCTGGCACAAGCGTCGTGGTGACGTCACCGCCACTTAGTGGCGAATGGCGGTTGTTGTTGTGTGACTGTGTGGGTGTGTGTGTGTGTGACTGCGGTTGTGTATGACCCTGTGAGTGTGACCCTGTGTGTGTGTGACTGTGTGGGTGTCTGTGTGTGTGTGTGACTGTGTGGGTGTGGGTGTCTGTGTGGGTGGGTGTCTGTGTGACCCTGATGTGTGTGGAGGTGTCTGTGTGGGGGTGTGTGTGACCCACCACCACCGTGGTGGTGGTCGGGGTAGTGGCGATGGTGACGACGGTGGCGATGGTGGTGATGGTGTTGGTGGTGGCGATGGTAGTGATGAAGATGGTGGTGATGATGTTGGTGGTGGCGATGGTGGTGGTGGCGATGGTGGTGATGATGATGATGGTGGCGATGGTGGTGATGAAGATGGTGGTGGCGATGGTGGCGATGGTGGTGGTGATGATGATGATGGTGGCGATGGTAGTGATGATGTTGGTGGTGGCGATGGTGGTGATGATGGTGGTAGTGGCGATGGTGGTGATGATGATGATAATGGTGGCGATGGTGGTGATGATGGTGGTGGTGGCGATGGTGGTGGTGGTGACACGGAGGAGCCCTGGGCACCTTGTCTCTCTGCCTCCCACAGATCCAGAGCGAGTGTCGCCGCTGGGCGGGGGGGGAGGCCGAGACGTTTGTACGTGGAAGAGGAGCTGGCGCTGGTGATGGTGGTGATGGTGGTGATGGTGGTGGTGATGATGGTGGTAGTGGTGATGATGGTGGTGATGATGGTGGTAGTGGTGATGATGGTGGTGGTGATGATGGTGATAATGGTGATGATGATGGTAGTGATGATGGTGGTAGTGGTGATGATGGTGGTAGTGGTGGTGTTGGTGGTGATGATGGTGGTAGTGGTAATGATGGTGGTAGTGGTGATGGTGGTAGTGGTGGTGGTAGTGGTGGTCCTGCTGGTGGTAGTGGTGGTGGTAGTGGTGGTGGTAGTGGTGGTGCTGCTGGTGGTAGTGGTGGTGGTGCTGCTGGTGGTAGTGGTGGTGGTAGTGGTGGTGGTAGTGGTGGTGCTGCTGGTGGTAGTGGTGGTGGTGCTGCTGGTGGTAGTGGTGGTGGTAGTGGTGGTGGTGGTGCTGGTGGGAAAATGGAGGAGGAGGAGGAGGAGGAAGAGGAGGGTGAGGAGGAAGAGGTGAGGGTCAGGACGCACGCACTCACACACGCGTGTGTGTGTGTAGGTGTGTGAGTGTGTAGGTGTGTTTGTGTGATTGTATGTGTGAGTGTCTGTGTGTGAGTGTCTATGTGTGTGTGTGTATGGGGAGCGGTAGTGTAGCGGTTAGCACGCTGCGCTATGAACCTGGCGACCTGAGTTCGATTCTCGCTCACGGCCAACACCAGTGACAATTATCTGAACCGGTCCTGGGCCTCCCCTAGGTCGACTCAGCCTCAAATGAGTACCTGGTGCGGTGTGTAAATATCGCCACTGGGGAGACAAAGGCGGTCGGGCGTGGTGCTGGCCACCCACCCCCTCGTGTACCGTTCCGGCCTTCATAGGTGCTCGCTAACAGCACTTGCCCCTACAGTCTGTTAAGGCTACACGGGGGTTCTTTGTCTTTGTGTGTGTGTGTACGCGCACACACGCGTGGGTCGGTGTGTGTGGAGGTGTGTGAGTTGTAGGTGTGTAGCTGTTTGTGTCAATGTGTGTGTGAGTGTGTAGGTGTGTGAGTTGTAGGTGTGTAGATGTTTGTGTCTATGTGTGTGTGAGCGTGGAGAGTTTCCCATACCTGGGCAGTGTGCTTATGACCGGCTCCAGTCTATCAGCAGAGGTCTCACTCCGAATCAGTCGAGCGGCAATATCTTTTCATCGGTTGCGTAACGCTGTGTGGAAGCTACCTGGTCTGTCGCTCCGCACGAAGCTTCAGGTCTTCTCGGCCACGGTCATTCCCTCCCTTCTCTACGCTTGCGAGACGTGGACCCCCCTGGTGGAGCATCTTCGCCGGTTGGAAACATTTAGGCTGGCCTGCCTACGATCCATCCTGGGTTTAACCAGGCTGGATTGTGTGAGGAGCTCACAAATCCTTGAAAGATCTGGGCAAAGTCCCATCAGTGAGCTCCTCCGGCAGGCAAGGCTGCGTTGGCTGGGTCATGTAGCCCGCATGCCCAGCCACCGCATGCCTAAACAGCTTTTGTTCGGCCGGATCGAGGGGGCTAGACGGGCGCGGCACGGGCTGGAGAAGAGATGGAGTGATGTGGTACAGGAGGACGTGGAGCTGAGTGGACTTGCCGATGACTGGTACCAGCGGTGTCAAGATCGGCCTCAGTGGAGGAGGCTCGTGAAGGACGCTACTGGGCAGTTGGAGGCAGTCGCCCTCCAACAACAACGGAGGGCGGAGGAGCGACGCTCACAACAACGAGCGGAGCGCCGGGTGGCTAAAGCACAGCAAGTTGGCACAGTAGGGGGCACAGGTGGTGCATCAGCCAGTCATCTCGGTCATCTCGGTCAGTCGACCAGTGGCACCTGGGTCTGCCCCGTGACCTCCTGCCAGCGGGCTTTCGACACTTCACGTGGCCTCAAGGTGCACTTGGCCTGGCACAAGCATCGTGGTGACGTCACCGCCACTTAGTGGCGAATGGCGGTTGTTGTTGTTGTTGTGAGCGTGTAGGTGTTTTTGTGTGAGTGTGTATGGGTCTCTGGGTCTCTGTGTGAGTCTATGAGTGTCTGTGTAAGTGTATGGGTCTCAGTGTGTGTATATGGGTCTCTGTGTGAGTCTATGGGTCTCTGTGTGAGTCTATGCGTCTCTGTGAGTGTGGATCTCTGTGTGAGTTTTTGTGTGAGTCTCTGGGTCTCTGTGTGAGTCTATGAGTTTCTGTGTCTGTGTGAGTCTGTGGGTCTCTTTGTGAATCTATGGTTCTCTGTGTGAGTCTATGGGTCTCTGTGTGAGTCTCTGGGTCTCTGTGTGAGTGTGGATCTCTGTGTGAGTTTTTGTGTAAGTCTCTGGGTCTCTGTGTGAGTCTATGAGTGTCTGTGTAAGTCTATGGGTCTCAGTGTGTGTATATGGGTCTCTGTGTGAGTCTATGGGTGTCTCTGTGAGTATATGGGTCTCTGTGTGAGTCTATGCGTCTCTGTGAGTGTGGACCTCTGTGTGAGTTTTTGTGTGAGTCTCTGGGTCTCTGTGTGAGTCTATGAGTTTCTGTGTCTGTGTGAGTCTGTGGGTCTCTTTGTGAATCTATGGTTCTCTGTGTGAGTCTATGGGTCTCTGTGTGAGTCTCTGGGTCTCTGTGTGAGTGTGGATCTCTGTGTGAGTTTTTGTGTGAGTCTCTGGGTCTCTGTGTGAGTCTATGAGTGTGTGTGTAAGTCTATGGGTCTCAGTGTGTGTATATGGGTCTCTGTGTGAGTCTATGGGTGTCTCTGTGAGTATATGGGTCTCTGTGTGAGTCTATGCGTCTCTGTGAGTGTGGACCTCTGTGTGAGTTTTTGTGTGAGTCTCTGGGTCTCTGTGTGAGTCTATGAGTTTCTGTGTCTGTGTGAGTCTGTGGGTCTCTTTGTGAATCTATGGTTCTCTGTGTGAGTCTATGGGTCTCTGTGTGAGTCTCTGGGTCTCTGTGTGAGTGTGGATCTCTGTGTGAGTTTTTGTGTGAGTCTCTGGGTCTCTGTGTGAGTCTATGAGTGTCTGTGTAAGTCTATGGGTCTCAGTGTGTGTATATGGGTCTCTGTGTGAGTCTATGGGTGTCTCTGTGAGTTTATGGGTATCTGTGTCAGTCTCTGTGTGAGTCTCTGTGTGAGTCTATGGGTGTCTGTGTGAGTCTATGGGTGTCTATGGTGAGTCTCTGTGTGAGTCTATGGGTGTCTGTGTGAGTCTCTGTGTGAGTCTATGGGTCTCTGTGTGAGTCTCTGTGTGAGTCTATGGGTGTCTGTGTGAGTCTATGGGTCTCTGTGTGAGTCTATGGGTCTCTGTGTGAGTCTCTGTGTGAGTCTATGGGTGTCTGTGTGAGTCTATGGGTGAGTCTCTGTGTGAGACTCTGGGTGAGTCTCTGTGAGTCTATGAGTCTCTGTGTGAGTCTCTGTGTGAGTCTATGGGTGTCTGTGGAGTATCTGTGTGAGTCTCTGTGTGAGTCTGTGGGTGTCTGTGTGAGTCTCTGTGTGAGTCCATGGGTGTCTGTGTGAGTCTCTGTGTGAGTCTGTGTGTGAGTCTCTGTGTGAGTCTATGAGTCTCTGTGTGAGTCTCTGTGTGAGTCTCTGTGTGAGTCTATGGGTCTCTGTGTGAGTCTATGAGTCTCTGTGTGAGTCTCTGGGTGAGTCTCTGTGTGAGTCTGTGTGTGAGTCTCTGTGTGAGTCTTGTATCTGCTTGTCTCATCGCCACGTCTCTTCTGCCCCCTTCCCAGGTGCTGCCTGGCAACCAGAGCCATTGTGAGTAGCACTACTACACTATACACTACACTATACACTACACTATACACTACACTATACACTACACTATACACTACTATAGACTACACTATACACTACTATACACTACACTATACACTACTATAGACTACACTATACACTACACTATACACTACACTATACACTACTATACATTACACTATACACTACACTATACACTACACTATACACTACTATACACTGCACTACTATACACTACACTATACACTACACTATACACTACTATACTACACTATACACTACAATACTACACTACACTACACTATACACTACTACACTATACACTACTACACTATACACTACACTATACACTACACTATACACTACTATACACTTACACTATACACTACTACACTATACACTACTACACTAAACACTAAACTATACACTACTACACTATACACTACTACACTATACACTACTACACTATACACTACTACACTATACACTACTACACTATACACTACACTATACACTACACTATACACTACACTATACACTACTACACTATACACTACTACACTACACTATACACTACTACACTACACTATACACTACTACACTATACACTACTACACTATACACTACTACACTATACACTACTACACTATACACTACACTATACACTACACTACTACACTATACACTACACTATACACTACTACATTATACACTACTACACTATACACTACACTATACACTACTACACTATACACTACTACACTATACACACTACACTATACACTACTACACTACACTACTACACTACACTATACACTACTACACTATACACTATACACTACACTATACACTACACTATACACTACACTACACACTACACTATACACTACACTACACACTACACTATACACTACACTATACACTACACTATACATTACACTATACACTACTATACACTACACTATACACTACACTATACACTACACTATACACTACTATACACTACACTATACACTACTACACTACACTATACACTACTACACTATACACTACACTATACACTACACTATACACTACACTATACACTACTACACTATACACTACTACACTATACACTACACTATACACTACTACACTATACACTACACTATACACTACACTATACACTACACTATACACTACTACACTATACACTACTACACTATACACTACTACACTATACTATACACTACTACACTATACACTACTACACTATACACTACTACACTACACTATACACTACTACACTACACTATACACTACACTATACACTACACTACACTATAAACTACACTATACACTACACTATACACTACACTATACACTACACTATACACTACTATACACTACACTATACACTACACTATTACACTACACTATACACTACACTATACACTACTATACACTACACTATACACTATATTATTCACTACACTATACACTACACTATACACTACTATACACTACACTATACACTACACTATACACTACTATACACTACACTATTCACTACACACTACACTATACACTACACTATACACTACTACACTATACACTACTACACTATACTATACACTACTACATTATACACTACTACACTACACTATACACTACTACACTACACTATACACTACACTATACACTACACTACACTATAAACTACACTATACACTACTACACTATACACTACACTATACACTACACTACACACTACGCTATACACTACTACACTATACACTACACTATAAACTACACTATACACTACTACACTACACTATACACTACACTATACACTACTACACTATACACTACACTATACACTACTACACTATACACTACTACACTATAAACTACTACACTATACACTACTACACTATACACTACACTATACACTACACTATACACTACACTACTACACTATACACTACACTATACACTACACTATACACTACTACACTATACACTACTACACTATACTATACACTACTACACTATACACTACTACACTATACACTACTACACTACACTATACACTACTATACTACACTATACACTACACTATACACTACACTATAAACTACACTATACACTACACTATACACTACACTATACACTACACTATACACTACTATACACTACACTATACACTACACTATTACACTACACTATACACTACACTATACACTACTATACACTACACTATACACTATACTATTCACTACACTATACACTACACTATACACTACTATACACTACACTATACACTACACTATACACTACTATACACTACACTATTCACTACACTATACACTACACTATACACTACACTATACACTACTACACTATACACTACTACACTATACTATACACTACAAACACTATACACTACTACACTACACTATACACTACTACACTACACTATACACTACACTATACACTACACTACACTATAAACTACACTATACACTACTACAATATACACTACACTATACACTACACTACACACTACGCTATACACTACTACACTATACACTACACTATAAACTACACTATACACTACTACACTACACTATACACTACACTATACACTACTACACTATACACTACACTATACACTACTACACTATACACTACTACACTATAAACTACTACACTATACACTACTACACTATACACTACACTATACACTACACTATACACTACACTACTACACTATACACTACACTATACACTACACTATACACTACTACACTATACACTACTACACTATACACTACACTATACACTACAATATACACTACTACACTATACACTACTACACTATACACTACACTATAAACTACACTACTACACTATACACTACACTATACACTACACTATACACTACTACACTAAACACTACACTATACACTACACTATACACTACACTATACACTACTACACTATACACTACTACACTATACACTACTACACTATACACTACTACACTATACACTACTACACAACACTATACACTACTACACTATACTATACACTACTACACTATACACTACTACACTACACTCTACACTACACTACACACTACACTACACACTACACTATACACTACACTATACACTACTACACTATACACTACACACTACACTACACACTACACTATACACTACACTATACACTACACTATACACTACACTACACTATACACTACACTATACACTACACTACACTATACACTACACTATACACTACACTACACACTACACTATACACTACACTATACACTACACTATACACTACACTATACACTACTACACTATACACTACACACTACACTACACACTACACTATACACTACACTATACACTACACTATACACTACACTACACTATACACTACACTATACACTACACTACACTATACACTACACTATACACTACACTACACACTACACTATACACTACACTATACACTACTACACTATACACTACACTACACTATACACTACACTATACACTACACTATACACTACACTACACACTACACTATACACTACACTATACACTACTACACTATACACTACACTACACTATACACTACACTATACACTACACTACACACTACACTATACACTACACTATACACTACTACACTATACACTACACTACACTATACACTACACTATACACTACACTATACACTGTGTCTGGCCCCCGCCCTCCCCCATGTCCCATGAAGACGAACGGTTGTTGTCGATTCGCGAGGAGCGATTGGAGTCGACGCTACGTCGGCAACATCCACATCCAAGTAGCAGCGGTGGTCAGCGCAACAGCTACGAGGTGCAGACCGCCTCACCCTGTGTGTGTGTCTGTGTGTGTGTGTGTCTGTGTGTGTGTCTGTGTGTGTGTGTGTCTGTGTGTGTGTGTGTCACTGTGTGTGTGTCTGTGTGTGTGTGTCTGTGTGTGTCTGTGTGTGTGTGTCTGTGTGTGTGTGTCTGTGTGTGTGTGTGTCTGTGTGTGTGTCTGTGTGTGTCTGTGTGTGTGTGTCTGTGTGTGTGTCTTTGTGTGTGTCTGTGTGTGTGTGTGTCTGTGTGTGTGTCTGTGTGTGTGTGTCTGTGTGTGTGTCTTTGTGTGTGTCTGTGTGTGTGTGTGTCTGTGTGTGTCTGTGTGTGTGTGTGTCTGTGTGTGTGTCTGTGTGTGTGTCTGTGTGTGTGTGTGTCTGTGTGTGTGTGTGTGTCTGTGTGTGTGTGTCTGTGTGTGTCTGTGTGTGTGTCTGTGTGTGTGTGTCTGTGTGTGTGTGTGTCTGTGTGTGTGTGTCTGTGTGTGTGTGTCTGTGTGTGTCTGTGTGTGTGTGTCTGTGTGTGTGTGTCTGTGTGTGTGTCTGTGTGTGTCTGTGTGTGTGTGTCTGTGTGTGTGTCTTTGTGTGTGTGTATGCATCTGTGTCTGTGTGTGCGTCTGTGTGTGCGTCTGTGTGTGTGTGTGTCTGTGTGTGTGTCTGTGTGTGTGTGTGTCTGTGCGTCTTTGCGTGTCTGTCAAATGGGGTTTGGCCAGGAGACGTCATAGAAGCCTGTCCCCCCGGGGCCTCCGGCACGAGCATGTTACTGAGATATTTGCGACGTGGTTAGTGGTAATGTATTGAAGGTGGAGGGGTTACCAGCCCCTCGCACCCGTCCAGAGCCCCCATTTGGCCGCTGTGGTGGCTACAAATGCCCTGCGGGGCAAGGCCAATCGGAATTGGCCCTCCCCCCACGGCACTGTCCACGACAGCGTTGTCCGTCCGGCCCCACGAGGAGGTAGGAGGTTGTTTTGCCACTCCGATGGTCAGGTGGTTGCATCTCACTCAGAGGAGGGAGTTTGAAGCGCTGCTGCTAAAACTGGAGCGTGCCACTAAGAGGTGGGGCCTTACTATCAGCCCCACCAAAACGAAGCACCTGCCTGGGTAGTTTGTACCATCGGACAGTCCACCCCCACAACTCCCAATCGGTGATGGGGCAGTTGTGGAGAGAGTGGAGAGTTTCCCATACCTGGGCAGTGTGCTCATGACCGGCTCCGGTTTAACAGCAGAGGTCTCACTCCGAATCAGTCGAGTGGCATTATCTTTTCATCGATTGCGTAACGCTGTGTGGAAGCTACATGGTCGGTCGCTCCGCACGAAGCTTCAGGTCTTCTCGGCCACGGTCATTCCCTCCCTTCTCTACGCTTGCGAAACGTGGACCCCCCTAATGGAACATCTTAGCCGGTTAGAAACATTTAGGCTGGCCTGCCTACGATCCATCCTGGGTTTAACCAGCAGGTTGAATTGTGTGAGGAGCTCACAAATCCTTGAAAGATGTGGACAAAGTCCTATCAGTGAGCTCCTCCGGCAGGCAAGGCTGCGTTGACTGGGTCAAGTAGCCCGCATGCCCAGCCACCACATGCCTAAACAGCTTTTGTTCGGCCGGATCGAGGGGGCTAAACGGGCGCGGCACGGGCTAGAGAAGAGATGGAGTGATGTGGTACAGGAGGACGTGGAGCTGAGTGGACTTGCCGATGACTGGTACCAGCGGTGTCAAGATCGGCCTCTGTGGAGGAGGCTCGTGAAGGACGCTACTGGGCAGTTGGAGGCAGTCGCCCTCCAGCAACAACGGAGGGCGGAGGAGCGACGCTCACAACAACGAGCGGAGCGCCGGGTGGCTAAAACACAGAAAGTTGGTACAGTAGGGGGCACAGGTGGTGCATCAGCCAGTCATCATGGTCATCTCGGTCAGTCGACCCGTGGCACCTGCTGGGTCTGCCCCGTGACCTGCCAGCGGGCGTTCGACACTTCACGTGGCCTCAAGGTGCACATAGCCTGGCACAAGCGTCGTGGTGACGTCACCGCCACTGGCTAATGGCGGTTGTTGTTGTGTGAATCCCAAGTTCGATTCCCGCTCACAGCCATCAACACCATCAGTGACAGCGATTATCTGAATCGGTACTGGGCGTCCCCTAGGTCGACTCAGCCTCAAATATATACCTGGTGCGGTGTGTAGTCAACATCCCTGGCACTGGGGAGACAAAGGCGGCCGGGCGTGGTGCTGGCCACCCACCCCCTCGTGTGCCATTCCGGCCTTCATAGGCACTGCTACTCGCGAACAGCACTTGCCCCTACAGTCTGTTACAGGCTACACGGGGGACCTGTGTCTTTATATATACGCACATACGTACCGCTGGTGACGATGGTCAAGATGGTGGTGACGACGACGATGATGATGACGGTGGTGATGGTGGTGGTGATGGTGATGATGGTGGTGGTGATGATGATGGTGATGGTGGTGATTGTGGTGGTGATGATGATGGTGGTGGTGATGATGATGGTGGTGGTGATGATGGTGGTGGTGATGATGGTGATGGTGGTGATGGTGATGGTGGTGATGGTGATGGTGGTGATGATGGTTGTGATGATGATGATAATGGTGGTGATGGTGATGATGATGGTGGTGATGATGGTGGTAATGATGACGATAATGGTGGTGATGATGATGGTGGTGGTGATGATGACGATAATGGTGGTGATGGTGGTGATGATGACGATAATGGTGGTGATGGTGGTGGTGATGATGGTGGTGATGACGACGATGATGATGGTGGTGATGATGACGACGATGCTAATGGTGGTGATGATGACGATAATGGTGGTGATGATGGTGATGATGATGGTGATGATGACGATGATAATGGTGGTGATGGTGGTGATGATGACGATGATGGTGATGACGATGATGGTGATGACGATGATGGTGGGGATGGTGATGGTGGGGATGGTGATGATGGTGGTGGTGATGATAACGGTGGTGATGCTGGTGGTGGTTTTGATGTTTTTCAGGATTTTCTGCTGGAGGATCCCGTGTACCAGCTCAGTGTCGAGGAGACACGGAGACTCTCCACACACAGATACTCGGCCTGGCTGGACCAGACGCCAACACAGTAATCATCACTCGCATTGTCATCGCCATCATCGTCACCGTCATCGCCATCATTATCATCATCGTCACACACACACACACTCACACACTCACACACTCACACACAGATACTCGGCCTGCCTGGACCAGACGCCAACACAGTAATCATCACTCGCATTCTCACCACCATCATCGTCGTCATCACCGTCATCGTCATCGCCATCATTATCATCATCGTCACACACACTCACATACTCACACACTCACACACTCACACACTCACATACTCACATACTCACACACTCACACACTCACACACTCACATACTCACACACTCACACACTCACACACAGTCTCACACACTCACACACTCACACACACTCACATACTCACACACTCACATACTCACACACTCACACACTCACTCACACACTCACACACTCACACACTCACACACACACTCACACACTCACACACTCACTCACTCACACACTCACACACTCACACACTCACACACTCACACTCACACACTCACACACTCACACACTCACACACTCACACACTCACACACTCACACACTCACTCACTCACACACTCACACACTCACACACTCACACACTCACATACTCACTCACACACTCACACACTCACACACTCACACACTCACACACACACTCACACACTCACACACACACTCACACACTCACACACTCACACACTCACACACTCACTCACACACTCACACACTCACACACTCACACACTCACACACTCACACTCACACACTCACACACTCACACACTCACACACTCACACACTCACACACACACTCACACACTCACACACTCACATACTCACACACACTCACTCATACTCACACACACTCACACACAAACACCTACACACACTCACATACACACTCACTCAGACACTCACACACAAACACCTACACACACTCACACACTCACTCACACACTCACTCACACACTCACACACAAACACCTACACACACTCACACACTCACACACTCACACACACAATTACACTCACACACTCATACACTCATACTCACACATTCACACACTCACACACTCACATACTCACACACACTCACACACAAACACCTACACACACTCACACACTCACACACTCACACACTCACACACTCACACACACTCACACACTCATACTCACACACACTCACACACTCACACACAAACACCTACACACACTCACACACTCACACACACTCACTCACTCACACACAAATACCTACACACACTCACACACTCACACACTCATACTCACACACACTCACACACTCACACACAAACACCTACACACACTCACACACTCACACACTCACACACTCACACACACTCACACACTCATACTCACACACACTCACACACTCACACACAAACACCTACACACACTCACACACTCACACACACTCACTCACTCACACACAAACACCTACACACACTCACACACTCACACACTCACACACTCATACTCACACACACTCACACACTCACACACAAACACCTACACACACTCACACACTCACACACTCATACTCACACACACTCACACACTCACTCACACACACAAACACCTACACACACTCACACACTCACACACTCACACACACAAACACCTACTCACACCCCCCCCCCCTCTCTCTTGCCCCCAGCTGCATCATCTGCCTGGAGGTGCTTGTGGAGGGAACAGAGATGTGCACATTGCCCTGCACGCACGCACACTTCCACGCAGCCTGCATCCACACCTGGCTACAGGTGATGACCACCAGCTCGTGCTGATGATGATGATGATGTGGTTCTCTCTGTCTCTCTCTGTGTCTCTCTCTCTCTCTGTGTCTCTCTGTCTCTCTCTCTGTCTGTGTCTCTCTCTCTGTCTGTGTCTCTCTGTCTCTCTCTCTGTCTGTGTCTCTCTGTCTATGTGTGTCTCTCTGTCTGTGTGTGACTGTGTGTGTCTGTGTGTGTCTCTCTGTCTCTCTCTGTCTCTCTCTGTCTGTGTCTCTCTGTCTCTCTGTGTCTCTCTGTCTCTCTGTCTCTCTCTGTGTCTCTCTGTCTCTCTCTCTGTCTGTGTCTCTCTCTCTCTCTGTCTGTGTCTCTATGTCTCTCTGTCTGCCTCTCTCTGTCTCTGTGTGTCTCTCTGTCTCTGTGTGTGTCTGTGTGTGACTGTGTGTGTGTGTCTGTGTGTGTCTCTCTGTCTCTCTCTGTCTCTCTGTCTCTCTCTCTCTCTGTCTGTGTCTCTGTGTTTGTCTCTGTCTCTCTGTCTGCCTCTCTCTGTCTCTGTGTGTCTCTCTCAGTCTCTGTGTGTCTGTGTGTGTGTCTCTGTGTGTCTCTCTCTGTCTCTCTCTGTCTATCTCTGTGTGTGTGTCTGTGTGTGTGACTGTGTGTGTGTGTTTCTGTGTGTGTCTGTGTGTGTGTCTGTGTGTGTGACTGTGTGTGTCTGTGTGTGTGTGTGTGACTGTGTGTGTCTGTGTGTGTGTGTGACTGTGTGTGTCTGTGTGTGTGTCTGTGTGTGTGTGTGTGTCTGTGTGTGTGTCTGTGTGTGTGTCTGTGTGTCTGTGTGTGTGACTGTGTCTGTGTGTGTGTGTGTGTCTGTGTGTGTGTCTGTGTGTGACTGTGTGTGTCTGTGTGTCTGTGTGTGTGTGTGTCTTAGGAGAGCGGCACGTGTCCGGTGTGCCGTGCCCTCGTCGTCTTACACTGAGGAGGAAGCTGCAGCTCCAACCTTCAAGTCTCCCTCACCACCCAGAGTCTCACCACCCAGTGTCTCTGTGTCTCACTACCCAGTGGCTCAGTGTCTCAGTGTCTGTGTTAGACCACCAGTGTCTCACTACCCAGTGTCTCAGTGTCTCCCTACCCAGTGTCTCACTACCCAGTGTCTCACTACCCAGTGTCTCACTACCCAGTGTCTCACTACCCAGTGTCTCACTACCCAGTGTCTCAGTGTCTCAGTGTCTCACTACCCAGTGTCTCACCATCCAGTGTCTCAGTGTCTCACTACCCAGTGTTTCACTAGCAGTGTCTCACCACCCAGTGTCTCACCACCCAGTGTCTCACTACCCAGTGTCTCAGTGTCTCAGTGTCTCACTACCCAGTGTCTCACCATCCATTGTCTCAGTGTCTCAGTGTCTCACTACCCAGTGTTTCACTAGCAGTGTCTCACTACCCAGTGTCTCACCACCCAGTGTCTCACCACCCAGTGTCTCACTACCCAGTGTCTCACTACCCAGTGTCTCACTACCCAGTGTCTCAGTGTCTCTGTGTCTCAGTGTTAGACCACCAGTGTCTCACTACCCAGTGTCTCTGTGCTCAGTGTCTCACTACCCAGTGTCTCACTACCCAGTGTCTCACTACCCAGTGTCTCTCTACCCAGTGTCTCAGTGTCTCAGTGTCTCAGTGTCTCAGACCACCGTCTCAAAGGCGACCAGCGCAAGGGCAATGCCACAGCATCACGGCTGGCTCAGTGTGAGCAGCAGATGAACTGTGGGGGTGGGTGGTTTACGAGAATTCTAGTAACAATAATGATGGTGGTGGTGGTGACGATGATGACGATGATGGTGACGACGATGATGATGGTGGTGACGATGACGGTGGTGACGATGATGATGGTGATGATGATGGTGTTGGTGACGATGATGATGGTGTTGGTGATGATGGTGATGATGATGGTGGTGATGATGATGGTGGTGACGATGATGGTGGCGATGATGATGGTGATGATGATGGTGTTGGTGACGATGATGATGGTGTTGGTGATGATGGTGATGATGATGGTGGTGACAATGATGATGATGGTGACGATGATGATGGTGACGATGATGATGATGGTGTTGGTGACGATGATGATGATGTTGGTGTTGGTGACGATGATGATGGTGGTGACGATGATGATGATGATGATGGTGTTGGTGACGATGATGATGGTGGTGACGATGATGATGATGGTGGTGATGATGATGGTGGTGACGATGATGGTGATGGTGGTGATGATGATGGTGGTGACGATGATGATGATGATGGTGGTGACGATGATGGTGATGGTGATGATGATGATGGTGTTGGTGACGATGATGATGATGATGGTGGTGATGATGGTGGTGATGATGGTGGTGACGATGATGATGGTGGTGTTGATGTTTGTTAGCCCCTGCCTCTGGTGAGACAGGCTGCTTCAAAACACAAAACAAGAAAGTAGTACATAGTGTAGTACATAGTGTAGTGTGTAGTGTAGTGTAGTGTGTAGTAGTATAGTGTATAGTGTCATGTAGTGTAGTATATAGTAGTGTAGTGTATAGTGTCATGTAGTGTAGTGTATAGTGTAGTTTATAGTGTATAGTGTCATGTAGTGTAGTATATAGTGGTGTATAGTAGTGTAGTGTATAGTGTCATGCAGTGTAGTATATAGTGTAGTTTATAGTGTAGTGTATAGTGTCATGTAGTGTGGTGTATAGTGTAGTGTAGTGTGGTGTATAGTGTAGTTTATAGTGTATAGTGTCATGTAGTGTGGTGTATAGTTTATAGTGTAGTGTATAGTGTAGTGTATAGTGTAGTGTATAGTGTATATTGTGTTTCAAAATGATGGACCCAATTTCAAATCAGTCTTGCCAATGACTGAGCCCCGGGGCTGTTTGTGCGCTGGGAGGTCATCACTGTGACCTCTACACCCCCCCCTCTACACCCCCCCCCCTCTACACCCCCCCCCCTCTACACCCCCCCCTCTACACCCCCCCCTCTACCCCCCCCCTCTACACCCCCCCCCTCTACACCCCCCCCCCTCTACACCCCCCCCCTCTACACCCCCCCTCTACCCCCCCCCTCTACACCCCCCCCTCTACACCCCCCCCCCTCTACACCCCCCCCCCTCTACACCCCCCCCTCTACACCCCCCCCTCTACCCCCCCCTCTACACCCCCCCCCCTCTACACCCCCCCCCCTCTACACCCCCCTCTACACCCCCCCCCTCTACACCCCCCCCTCTACCCCCCCCCCCCTCTACACCCCCCCCTCTACACCCCCCCCCCCCTCTACACCCCCCCCCTCTACACCCCCCTCTAACAACCCCCCCCTTCTCTACACCCCCCCCCCTCTACACCCCCCCCCTACACCCCCCCTCTACACCCCCCCCCTCTACACCCCCCCCCCTCTACACCCCCCCTCTACAACCCCCCCCCTCTACACCCCCCCCCCTCTACACCCCCCCCCTCTACACCCCCCCCTCTAACGCCCCTCCCCCTCTACGGCCCCTCCCCCTCTAAGCCCCTCCCCCTCTAAGCCCCTCCCCCTCTACACCCCTCCCCCTCTACGCCCCTCCCCCTCTACGCCCCTCCCCCTCTACGGCCCCTCCCCCCTATGCCCCTCCCTCTCTACGCCCCTCCCCTCTAAGCCCCTCCCCCTCTACGCCCCTCCCCCTCTGCGCCCCTCCCCCTCTACGCCCCTCCGCCTCTACGCCCCTCCCCTCTATGCCCCTCCCTCTCTACGCCCCTCCCCTCTACGCCCCTCCCCCTCTACGCCCCTCCCCCTCTACGCCCCTCCCCCTCTACGCCCCTCCCCCTCTATCGCCCCTCCCCCTCTACGCCCCTCCCCCTCTATGCCCCTCCCTCTCTACGCCCCTCCCCCTCTATGCCCCTCCCTCTCTACGCCCCTCCCCCTCTACGCCCCTCCCTCCTCTACGCCCCTCCCCCTCTACGCCCCTCCCCCTCTACGCCCCTCCCCCTCTATGCCCCTCCCTCTCTACGCCCCTCCCCTCTACGCCCCTCCCCCTCTACGCCCCTCCCCCTCTGCGCCCCTCCCCCTCTACGCCCCTCCCCCTCTACGCCCCTCCCCCTCTATGCCCCTCCCTCTCTACGCCCCTCCCCCTCTACGCCCCTCCCCCTCTACGCCCCTCCCCCTCTATGCCCCTCCCTCTCTACGCCCCTCCCCCTCTATGCCCCTCCCTCTCTACGCCCTTTCAAGGGGTAAGAGTTGCACTAATGGGGGGTTCGTGGCTGCAGAGATTTTGCGATTTCAAATCGGGGTCCGTCTTTCTGAGGCAGCCAGCGGCCCCCAACCTGCTAGGCACCCGGCACCGGCTTCGTGGAAGACAATTTTGTACACAGGGGGGGGGGGGGGGGTCTTCATTGGGTCTTTCTACCTCTTCAGAGAAGCTCTGCAGTGACGTGTGTGTCTGTACTCGTGTTGGCTGCTGGGGCTGGAGCTCGTGGGCTCACCACGACTGTGGCTGGGATGAGTGCCCAGTGCGGGGAAGAGGCACAGACACATTCACTCAGAGTCGTGTTGGCCATTGCCTCAGGCGAGAGGACTACTACATGCCCGTTGGCTTCTTAATAAACCTGTGCATCTTTTGATTTAAAGCTTTCGTGACTGCAGGGATTCATATTCTTGGTTCTTTCGGTAAAGTCACGTAGAAGGGAAATAATAAAAAAGATTGCATAATAAATTATTTATTTTAGAAGGGAAATAATAAAATCGAAACAATAAAATAATTAAAACAGGATGTAGCAGTTTAAATATTTATTAATATTTTATAAATATTTTATGTTTCTAATTTTTTATTTCCCTTCTAAAATAATTTTATTACGTTTTATTTTACTATTTCCCTTCTACGTGACTTTACCGAGAGAACCAGCAATACGAGTGCATCTTGTTGGGAGCGAGTGGGTGCTCAGCGTGCCCTGTTCTTTGGTTGTGATTTAGTGTTTGCTCGCTGACAGATTCGATGATTGTAGCTGAGACGCTTGGTGACATTCTAGATGTGGGCTGCTCCCTACACGACGCGCCTGGGACTGTGATGACGTGTGCGTCACTGGTCACTGGCCCTCTGAATCTGGCTAAAGCTTCTACTTCATATCAGGGGCCATTAACCATCAACCCCTTCTCAGTTCCCTACCTGATTACAGGCCAATTGAGACCTCACCGGTCACCCCGTGACCTTAGACAGCTCAACGTCCATCCTGAACAGTCCCATTACAAGCGAGAAACACACTAATTGTTTCTTGTGCCCGTCTATAAATGTCTCTATGTCTCGATGTAAAGCTGCTTTCGTGACTGCAGGGATTCATCTTCTTGGTTCTTTGGGTAAAGTCACGTAGAAGGGAAATAATAAAATAATAAAAATAAAACATTAAATAATTATTTTATTATGTATAATAAAAGAATAATAAAAATAAAACAATAAAATAATTATTTTTATTATGTATAATAAAAGAATAATAAAAATAAAACATTAAATAATTATTTTATTATGTATAATAAAAGAATAATAAAAATAAAACAATAAAATAATTATTTTATTATGTATAAAAAATAATTATAAAAATAAAACATAAAATAATTATTTTATTATGTATAATAAAAGAATAATAAAAATAAAACATAAAATAATTATTTTATTATGTATAAAAAATAATTATAAAAGTAAAACATCAAATAATTATTTTATGTATAATAAAAGAATAATAAAAATAAAACAATAAAATAATTCTCACTTTTATTTTTATTATTGTATTACTCCCCTTCTACGTGACTTTACCGAAAGAACCAAGGAGAAGTCTCTACGTGGTTGGGACGTGAACACGCAGTGCCCCCTACACAGGCACACGGGGGTCACCGCTGCCACTCGACCAGCGCCGAGTTGTGACGCGGCTCTGAGGCCCCGTGACGTTGTCCAACGATCGTGAAGAAGTGGGTCTCACAAATAAAGACAATACTAAATACACAGCGATGCTCCTGTTCACTTTCTTATTATTTTTAATGAACAAACTCGACTCAAAATCTGCTTGGTTCTTTCGGCAAAGTCACGTAGAATGGAAATAATAAAATAATAAAAATAAAACATAAAATAATTCTCACGAGGAGACAGACCTGGTCTCCACCTGAGGACGGCTGCTTGCGTTGTGGCCGAAACGTCGTGATAATTATTTTATGTTTTATTTTTCTTATTTTATTATTTCCCTTCTACGTGACTTTACCGAAAGAACCAAGAAGATGAATCCAAAGCAATGTTCGTAGTAAACTTTCATTATTATTTTTATGAACAAACTCGACTCAACGTGTCAAGGCAGAGACAACGATTGTTGATTTACTCTCCAACGCCGCGTTGCTGAGCCAGTGTAACCCCAAGTGGCACCTTTTCTCTACGAGACAACCAGGGGCGGTTTCTTCACTAGGGCAATTGGGCGACGCAGCACCAATGTCATTCAACCACAGAGTCACGCTAGCCGTCACTGTGCCTCTGGATATAGTCCAATCAGCGTCATGTCACGTTCTGTGGACTACCGCCTCTTTTTGGGCGATTTCACTCCGGCTGAGAATCGCCCAGAGTGTTCCCATAGACTTACATTCAAAGATGGTTTTTTTCGAACGGCAGGCGCTGCAATGCATTCTCTACGGCTTCCGGGAGGGCAAGCCCTAACGTGCTTACGTAATCATACGTAAGCACGTTTCAGTCAACAATATTATTTGTCGCCACCTAGTGGAATCTTTAATAAAAGAAACTGAGTGGATTGTAATAATAGTGAGTATAGAAACAAACAAGGAGATGTATTGTAAGAGTCACTTTATTTGTCATTAATATTAAAGAAGTGAAGTTGCCTTTACATGCTTAAGCTGTTAATTTATCCATTGCATGGGTGGACCTTATCCTTATCAATCATCCAGACATTTGCCCCCCATGAGAGATTGTGCAGGAGCCACCACTGGTGACAACCCTCACAAATCGGCCGTGTCAGGTGTCAGCGGGTTAACGACACATTCACATTGACGCCGTCCTGCAGCGACAACTCTCACGAATATCGGAATCACTTCAACTCGGCAGAGCCGCCGGCACACGCGTTGGCCTCTCTAGCGAGCTGCACCGATGGTCGTCACCGTGACACGAGGGGCGGGTCGGAGAGCACCGTCCGCCTTTGTCTCCTCAGTGGCAATGTCAACTACCGCACAGCGCTCCTCATTTGAGGCTGAGTCGACCGAAGGGAGGCCCAGGACCGGTTCAGAGTCTCTGCGCGAGCGTTTGGGTCTCTGCGCGAGCGTGTGGGTCTCTGCGCGAGCGTGTGGGTCTCTGCGCGAGCGTGTGGATCTCTGCGCGAGCGTGTGGGTCTCTGCACGAGCGTGTGGGTCTCTGCGCGAGCGTG